TCGGGCAGCTGAGGCAGTCTACACTGCAGTTCCAGGCTATCGGCGAAAGCCTCGGCCTTTTCCTGGTTCGTGTAAACCACCCCCACACTACCGTGGATTGGAGGAATTTTACGGCGAGCGGTCTGTCGCAGGGCCCTCTGCGTTTTCCAGAGGCTGTTGTCTTGTGGATCCAGCGACTCCAGGTGCCTAGCCCAGTTATCCTGGGCCAGTTCATCCAGAGCCGCCTTCACCCGTCTGTTAAGTACGTTTAAGTCATGTCTGTGTCGGGGGAGGCGGGTGCGGGTGGCAAGCCGTTTCGCACGTCGTCTGTCACGTATTAAGTTTTTTATGTCATCGGGGAGGGTGCCCCGGGGGTTTGTCAGTCGGGGGACAATAGTCTCCGTCGTAGTCTGAGTCAGGGCGTTTTTAATGTCAGTCTCAAGGGAGAGGATTGCCGCCTCCAGATCATGGGTGGTTTCGATGACTGGGAGCGCCATGTTTCCTTGCATTACTGTTCGGAAACGCTCCCAGTCAGTGAACCTCCTCGTGAAGGTGCCTTCATATCTCTGTCTTCGCCCCAGATCCAGAAATATTGGATTGTGGGCGGAAGACCCTTCGTATTGGGTGGATATTTGGGCATTTAACGGTATAGATTTTAAGAGGGCAATGTCGATAACGTCGGGGCGTCCTACGGGTCCGTAATGTGTCGGTTACTCGCATCAACCGAATTAGTTAAAAAAATGTATGAAACCCATGTCTATAAAATATGTCCCAGGACTTCAGAATGCTAGGTGCCCTGTATTACCAAAGGACAATGTATCGCCAACTCTTGTTGACATAATAAAGAAATGAACCGGACGGTAAATTAAATTGTCTAGATGAAATTTTTTCAAAAATAATTTGATTTATACCCGACTTACGTGATGCCAGACAGAGAAGTGGAAAACTCCCAATATTTCTTATTACACTTACACTGATATATTTCTGAACCCTGCCCTTGTGACGTTTAATTTTGACAGCTGTCAATAATGTCAAAATGAAAACTAGACACACGTACGTGGAACGAGGTTATTAGTTTGAAGTATGCAACGTTCTTATACATTATTAAATTTTATAGAAAAGGAACAATGAAAGTGTTAATTAAATTTGCGTTAATTTTTTACCTATGTTTAGTTTTAGTTAAAGGTCAAAGGGCACCCCCAGGTGTTCCACCACAACATTATCAGGTAATATTTAACATATGTTAAAGATAAAAAAGAGAATAAAAACAGACTAATCCTAAATGAGTCCAAGTTAAACAAGATACTCAATTATAAATAAACGTCGTTGTATACATTTATAGGATCTTACTTGGGCGGACTTTTATATTAACACATATTTATTTATTTTCAAGGCACAGCAACAGTATCAACAACAAGTTCCGCAACAACAGTACGGACAGCAACATGTACAGTATCAACAAGTACCCGTACAGCAACAAGTGCCTGTTCAACAACAAGTCCCAGTCCAACAGCAGGTGCCTGTTCAACAACAGGTGCCTGTTCAACAACAAGTTCCCGTTCAACAGCAAGTCCCTGTTCAACAGCAAGTGCCAGTTCAGCAACAAGTTCCTGTTCAACAACAACAAGGACATCACCATCACGGACGTCCCCAACAAGTATTAAATGCCGCCAATGTTGCCCAAGAAGCTCAGTAAGACCAAATTTGTTTTATTTAAATTACGGAAGTATTATCTGTGGCTCTTTCTCGAGTCGACTTCTTAAAGTATGTGAAATGTTTGTAATAATTAACATTTATATGAAATGGGCGTTTTTAGGCATATTGCTGAGCATATGGAGGTGCCAATTGACACAAGCAAAATGTCGGAACAAGAATTACAGTTCCATTATTTTAAAATGCACGATTCCGATAATAACAACAAATTAGATGGATGTGAATTAATAAAATCTCTCATACATTGGCACGGTAAGACAGAATTTAATTAATAAATATTATAAATAAGGTCAAATACTTAGAGTTACTATAGTGAAATATTTTAATACACACCGAGATATATAATACAATAATTTTATGGCTGTTTTATTGCCCGAAACATAAACTTTAAGGTGGAAACAGTCATAAAATTTCTTTTAAAATAGGTTTCAAGCGCTATAAAATATTAAACTGAAAAATATATGAACGTGTATTGACTATGTTTAAAATATTATATGCTTTTTTGGAGTGACATTTCAATGTCGATCACTTAATAGTAACTTGTGCAAGGAAGACAATAATTTTTATATAAAAAAAATATATGCTTATATCTAACTTTATCTTTACATGTTCGTACTTATTTACAACAATACATTTGTTTACAATCTAGAAGCGCTTTTCTAATGTTTAAAATGTTATTTGTTTTGGGTGCTTCATCGGGCTGACACGGTGCTATTATCAAGCTTTTAAGCGGGTTATTAAGCTTTTCTATGTTTGTGTTTTGTTCCTGTTTAGAGCAAGGGAGCAAAGAGAAGCAAGGCACGGTGGAGGAAAAAGTGTTCAGGGACGAAGAGTTGGTAAACCTAATCGATCCTATACTAAACGTCGATGATTTCAATCAGGATGGTTATATCGATTATCCCGAATTTATTAGGGCGCAACAAAAAGCTGCGGGACAGGCTAAGCCACAAGCTTAAAGTATGTTTTTTTATTTTTATAGCATAATTGGCAGTGCCAAAAATAGGTACGAATGTTCATTCACTGTTACAGGCATATTAAATTAAATTAATATAGTTTATAATATAAGTGATTATAGTTTTCAAAATTAACTGTTTTTGTACAGATACGTAAGCTAATTTCGGCACTGTACTGTTTAATAGATCTAATAACCTAATTTTGCAATATTTCGAGTTTTTCGGTAATGTGTAAATGGAAGTCGTAAACCATTTTCTTCGTAAATAATTACAGTCCATGTGACCAGTAATTTTGGTTGAAACAGTAATTTTCATCACGTTGGCAATTAAATTTTGGTAAAATTAAAACAATAAAACACAACATTCTGTTAGGCTGGTTATTGGTGTAATTTGTCAGTAGATTTTATTAATCCAATCAGCGATCGCATTATCTCGAGCATAGGCGTGGATTTTTAGTTGACAGTACCAGTCGTGAAATGTTGGTTGCCTAAGCTCGCCGTTCACGTGACTTGTAATCATTTATGAAGGTTTTATGTTCAATAAATGTAACTATATGCGATATGTGTGTTTCGGGTTTATAAGGGTCTGTTTTTTGTTTAAATTGTTGAATTTCAAGTTTAAAAAATTTTGTGTTTCGTTGCTTTCATGTATGATGTCCGTATGGTGGATGTTATAAGGGTAGAATTACAAATCAAACATTAATATACTTTTGAAGTGTATTTTCAGTTTTGCCTATAGGTACATATTTTTTCTTGATTTTTTTAAAGTTGATGATAAATCCGAAGAACTGGAAACTGTACCAGATGATAAACTGATGGAATTAGTTGATAACATGCTCAAACTTATGGATAAGAATAACGACGGTTACATAACTTACCCAGAATATCGTACCTATTCTGTCAAGAGTAATTGAAATTTCATGTTGTTAAGTTTTCCTTCATTACATAAATAATTTCCATTATTTTTACGTTGTAATCTTACATTACGTCCATTTTGGTTGTGTAATTTGTACATATTGGTTTAGTATAATATGAATCTGTAGAAATTGCAGTAATTTTTCTAAATAAATTGTTACTTTGTACTTTAAGTTATAATTGTTTTTTAATTAACCTTAAAGTTAAAAGCAGGGAAAATTACCATAGTAAGAATTGACCTTAAGTGATCGTACATATAACTCACATGATAAGCCAAATAAGCAATTTCTAAAAAAAGTGTATCTATTCTTCAATGATGCTTTTTTCAAATTTTTTTTCTCATGGTATGAAGATATTTCAGACAATCTGAGGCCAAATTTGAATTCATTCACCAAATATATATTATAATGTACCTCAGATATTTTTTGGCATAATTTTGGGATTGTTTTTCCTTGGATATTTCAATCAACAACTCATAAATTTGGCTACAAAATGTTTTGTATAAACAGAATTCAAAAAAGCGCATAACAGACTTATCTACTAACACAGAGCAACTTTCTCAGCTTTACTATTAGATATGGCCAGGCCCGGATCCAGAGACTGGTTTTGGGGGTGGCGCAAAGCACTTCTTTATCATTATTATTATTATTATTATTATTGTTGTTGTTGTTATTTTTTTGATGACGTAGGGTGTAGGTTAGGAAGGAGGACTTGCATTAATATCGACTAACTGCCTGTTGTCGTTTGGAGAAATTGAAGATCTTTAAAAAATGTTGTGCTTTGGGGGTGGCGATCGCCACATCGCCACCCCCTCTGGATCCGGGCCTGGATATGGCATCATAATTCAGCGCTAGATGCATATATTTGGTTTTATAAATATATGGCTAGATGGGGCATGTAACTCAGAGAGTAGTTGTTTTCCCACAATATCATTAGTTAAAAAATTTATTGCATGTAATGCGAAAACAAATAATGTTTTCATACCACCTACAGATAGTAGGTCACTCTTTGCTGCTAGTAGGTGCAAAGTAATGCCTTGTGCTAGTAGGCATTGTGTAGCAATGACATTTAAGATATGAAATAACTTTATAGGTTATATCTCGCCCAAACTCAATATATACCAGAAGTAATCATTCATAAGATATCTTACTGATGAGAATTAATAACTTCAAAACCATTGAATGTCTGGTGACGCTCCTGATGAATAATCTTAGCTATTTACTTGATCTGGTGGGTGTAATTCAATGCTAGACAGGGCATATAGCCTGCAGAGTAGTTGTTTCTCACAATAGCATTAGTTTAAAATGTATACATTTCTGAAAATTACAATGTTACCTTATGGGTAGTAGTTTATAACTTTGATTTATATTTCAAGAAAATTGAGTGCATGCAAAATATTTTTATCGAAAGCAAGTTTATTGAACAAAGGGTATGGTATGTGAAATCATGGTTTATGGTTTCCAGAAATACCAAGAATATATGGTTAAACCGACAAATTTAATGCAAAAGCCTTCCTACCGAACGGCCAAAAGCAAACAGTGGCCTAGTGATTCAATCTGACTGGCTATACCCATGTTTGTATACATTTAATGTTTAAAATAAAAAATAAAAGTTTGTGATAAGGGTGATAAACTTTGGAAACATTTTATTGAAAAAATATATAACAATCTTCTTTCTCTTATATCTTAAAAACTCAAAAATGGATTTATAATCTCTAAATATTTTAAACATTTATAGATTTAAAAAAAAACAAACATTATCATTTCTAGGACTGCATTGTCCCAAACTGTCTTATAAAACTTTAGTTTCAATTTGTGTACCATCAATATTAATGTAGCACTAAAAAAGACCCCAATTTCAGTTGATTTTCTCGTAAATAGCTAATCTGATTTTGACCATCTTTTTTTTAAATATAGGTGTAGTCCTTAGTAATGACGTTTTTTTAATATCAGTTTTCAACATATACAGTGTGCAACATAAAATACATTTTTTCTCCGAATTTAGAAACACCCAGTAAGATGTCAGCTGAAATAGCGTATGTCTTTTGATGTCATCTTTATTATTACTTGATGATTAAATTGAAGCACACCAGTTTTCATAAAGTTGAAATTTTCATATTAGCATTGTTACTGAGGAATAATACTCCAGTCGGGTTAGACAAAAAAAGGGCTTAACTGGGAAAAAATTAGGGACCACAATTTTATTGTTCTAGCCTTTAGGGGGGGGGGGTCAATAGTAGTGTAAATTCAGAATAGCGACTGAATTCCACCCCTGCGTCAGCCGCCATCTTGAATTTAAGGAAAAATCGTTTTTGCTCAATATCTCGCCCATTTTCAACTTTACAACAAAAATGGTAAGGACTTAAGTTGTTGGAAATGCGATTTCTTACAACTTCTTTTGATACAAATTTTATCGTGCAATCGATATTTTTCAAGTAAAGGCGGAAAATAGTGACAAAGTATAATTATTGAATTATCTCGTTTGTTATTGACTATACAACATAAATGTACATAAACAAAGTTGGAAAGAATTATATTTTCTACAATTTTGATCTCTTTGATTTTTTCGCTATAATCAATATTTAAGGTCCTACGCTTCCGGTAAAGACGCGAGCGTAGGATCTTGCGTGAGTTGGTTTCAAATGAATTGTTTTTGCTCAATATCTCGGCCATTTTCAACTTTACAACAAAAATGGTAAGGGCTTAAGTTGTTGCAAATGCGATTTTCTACAACTTCTTTCATTACAAATTTTATCGTGCGATCGATATTTTTCAAGTTAAGGGGGAAAATAGTGACAAAGTATAATTATTGAATTATCTCGTTTGTTATTGACTTTACGACATAAAT